GCTTAACACGCAAAAGGTCTCTGGTTCGAAACCAGACAGAAACAGTTTTTCCTGCTTTAATCTATTACAGAGTTATTCACATGAGATTTTGACTTTTAAATCAAACCCGTAAAAAGTGTTAACCGTCGTGCGTACATATTCAAAATGAAGGTTCCTTGAAAACCCTTCAACAAACAATGCGTTCCATGGTTCTGTGGTGTAATGGTTAGCACTCTGGCCTATGAATCCGGTGATCTGAGCTCAAATCTCAGTGGAAACTGCTCAGCAACCAGTCACCACTCCAAATAAATCATCATTTACAAGAGTGTAAGAATCTTGATATTCCCTTCAATAAACATGACAAATGTCATTTCTTAGATTACTTGGGTAGAGTCTACTGAAAATGTTTAAAACTATCTAAATACATTGAAAAATGATCACATAACTGACATTATGCTTTAGCTTAACTATCCTACACAGCCAGGCAGTCTAGCAAGTCCCCAGGTATGCCATACTGCGACACCTGGGAAGGCAAAGAATTGTTGCGGAAGATTGAACAAGCTGAAGGAAAACTACATCCTACGCCTTAGTTGTATATAAACAATACATAGCTAGAACAAAGGACAACCACTAAACCTATTAACACCAAACTCCACACCCAGCCAAACACCTAATGGTTTCAAGGTTCAATGGTAAGCACTCTAGACATTGGTTGCAAAGATTTCAGGTTTCACTTTAACCTTCAACTCATTCATGGTGTGTCATTGTAACTCCAGACCGTGCTTTTGAACAACTTTCCTGTGCACATGCAGGAGCAGGTCAATTTAAGTGAGGTTGTTCTCTGGAAAGGGTTTGATTCATTTTTGAGGGGTCACCAAGAACACAAAAGAGCTACATTGGTTTAGGTGTTGTCGTGGTGCTTTTATTTTTCTGTCAGGTAAAATGCAGAAACAATTTGATTTGGAGCTGTTTTCAGTCACGGACGCTCCTGGATTGTCTGGGAATTAGGTGCCAAAGAAAATCCTTGGTGTATTATATCACAGTAAGGTGAACTTTATCAAGCCTGTATTGAAGTGATGCCTTGGCTTAATTGTTGATGTTTCACCTAAGTTGTTTCCCGAAGCAAAATTTTCTATAGAGTAATTATTCTCTTGTATGATTGATACGTAAATGGAATCCAAATGGAAAACAGTTAGAAACGGGAATTTGACTGTTTATTAATCTCCAAAGTAATGTGGTCTGTGTGACAATAGAGTGCCTAATATTTCACCTTGAAGAATACAGTAACAAAATCAACAATGCAATTTTTTGTATAGATAAAAGTGGGCTCTACCGCACTTTGGATCTTTTACCGTGAAGGAGTCATGCCATGCTTGTTTCTGTAGTGTAGTGGTTATCACGTTTGCTTAACACGCAAAAGGTCTCTGGTTCGAAACCAGACAGAAACAGTTTTTCCTGCTTTAATCTATTACAGAGTTATTCACATGAGATTTTGACTTTTAAATCAAACCCGTAAAAAGTGTTAACCGTCATGCGTACATATTCAAAATGAAGGTTCCTTGAAAACCCTTCAACAAACAATGCGTTCCATGGTTCTGTGGTGTAATGGTTAGCACTCTGGCCTATGAATCCGGTGATCTGAGCTAGGGTTAGGGTTAGGGGGTTAGGGTTAGGGGGTTAGGGTTAGGGGGTTAGGGTTAGGGTTAGGGCTGGTTGCTCTTCAGATAGGGTTTGACTAATTTTCAGGGGGTCACCAAGAACATAAAAGAGTTACACTGGTTTCGGTGTTTCTTTTTCTATCAAGCTAACCCCTCACTCCTATTTCTCTACATCTAAGGGGTTTGCTCAATCCAGCTCTCCATCCAACGGGTTCGGACTTCCCTAAGCGTGAAAGATCTTACTATGCATGTTTACTGAAAGTTCTGTTTGAGCTGGTGTCGGGAAATGACACGCCCAACCTTCTAACAGCCTGCATCCAAAAGTTTCACCCTTCTTCAACTGGTGTTCTGGACGACTGAGTAGCCCATAGTAGTCATCCACTCCTCGACAGTCACCTCTGTGAACGGCTGCTCCTTTCCTAATATTACAACTGGTTCTTGGAATATTTAAGTGATATTGTTCTTCAAAAAGGGTTTGACTCATTTTCAGGGGGTCGCCGAGAACATAAAAGAGTGTTATGGAAAATTTTAGAACCTTGCTTTCTTTTCTATTAGATACTCTGCTGGATCTGATAAAAGTATTAGAACCCCTCAGTGTTGTTCCATTCTTCTCTTATTTAGTCTTAGAGTAATGGTTTCTCAGCCTTCTGCTTGCAGCTGTGTGAGATAATATGTATGCCACACTGTTAAGATTATGTCTA